GTGATTGTGTAGCAGCGTCACTGTGACAGTGTGCCTGTGTTAAGGTGTCTGTGATTGTGTGCAGGTCATCACTCTGGAAGGCTGGGTGGAGATCATGTACTATGTGATGGACGCACACTCCTTCTACAACTTCATCTACTTCATCCTGCTCATTATAGTAAGTACAGCCCTGCAGATCCTACAGCTTGCTCGTGTCCTGGGCACGTCTTCACCAGCAATCATTCCATTTAATTACCGCTGGCGCCTTTTCTGCCGTCAATAACGTACTGTTGGCGATACAGCTGGAGGTGTGCTGGCAGTTCAAGATTATTCGGTCCCCTGAGACTGGCAGAGATTTCCAGCTGGCATTCGGCGACCCAGCTGAAGCATGGTATCTCTGCGGAAGGTTCCTCGTCTCCAGCGGTCACTGGACACTCCTGGAAACATACTTTTCTAGCACTTACTGCCCGCCTGCCATTACCACTCTCATTTTTGTTTTTAGCTCTGCTCCTTTCTTTCCAAAACGGTTATGCTCTCTCTCAGAGGAGAGTGCCTAGGCTTTGCAGGAGCTTTCAGATCGTTGGTCGTTTTTATGGTTTATAATCGTCCCTGCCAAATAAGAGTGCCTAATCCCTGGTAGATCCTTGTGTCTGAGCATTACAGTTTAATTAAGCCTATGTGAAACTGGTTTGCCTCCTGCCAGGGTAGCAGCACGTCCAGGCGCTCACTGACAGGGGATTAGAGACAGATCTGGGGATGTTCGCACTGTACAGCACTTGTCAAAATAATTGCCTAATAAAGCAGGCCTGAAGAGACACCTTCAGACACAATGAGGCCATTTTGCCTGCGCCTGAAGGATGGAGAGAGATGTGTCCCTGACCTTTCGGGCTGGCCCGGCCTAGCGGGTGGCGGTTTCTGAACCGTGTGGCCCTGCCAGACGCGCACAGCGAGGGGCGAGAGGTGAGAGGGAGAACCTGTGCCCAGGTTCAAGGAGACGACAGGTATTAAGGAACATCAAGAGCTCTGCCTTGTGCCAGAACTGCAAATAAAAGGAGTAGGTCAGATCGTCCTCCTGACCTACAGAAGTCTTTGTCTTTACGCAAAGGGTTGTGGGAGTGTGGCACGAGCTACCCAGCCACGTTCTTGATGCTGATGTCCTGTTTTGTTTTCCAAGAAACAGCTGGATGAGCAACTCGTAATGACCAACAGGGCTTGATGGGCTGAGCGGCCCTCTTTCCTTTGTCACCTTTCTTATGTTCTTAAGTTTTCAAATCAATTGTCGGGGCAGACCTCACTGAGTCAAACCGGTGCTGCTCAACGTCAAAAATGGAAAGCTTATTTGATCTGAGCTGGAACGGGAGGTGCTTCCAGCTGCCTGTTGGCCGAATCCTGTTGAAAAGGCTGAATCTCTGGTTTCCTTCGGGAACAGAATTGTCCTCAAAATCCAGATTTTGTGCACATTTGGTGTGGCCGTGCTGTTCTGTGAAATGAATCGTGGAGAGGCCAGCTACACACAGCTTCACCCGACAGCACAGATCTGGAAGTTGTGCACTAGAATTGGAGTGCACAGAAGGAATTGGGGCACTAGAAAGGAATCCTATCCACACAGATGGAGGAGAACATGCAAACTCCACCCAAAAGGCACCATAGCCCCCAGTCAAGCACAGGGACTCCTGCCTCCCTTATGTCAGCCTGCGTCGATGAGCCAAGAAATCTGGGTGTATTCCAGCCATGATCAGCCAAGCACCCCTGTGTTTATTTACCCCCCTGTGCTACTGTAGAACTAGTTGATTGCGTTCTTTAAAGATATGCTCTCTCCAGCTGAGAACGGGCTTCTGCAAGAAGGTCGTAATTAACATAGAGCCGGCAAACTTAATCAAGCAGGTCTTTCTCAGAACCTGTCAAGAACTGATCAAACTTTGAGGTGTAATGCAAGGATCAAGACCAGCAGTCCGATTCTCTGTGCATTGATGTTTGATCTACCTCAGGTTTTCAGGGCAGCTGGCTCTTGGCCGAATCATTATTGAATCATCATTATTATTGAATCATTATCGGCCAATTGGAGATTCAGGCAAAATAAGGTCACAAGTGTGCCTGACTTGTACAGCTCCAGGGTTTCTGGAGTGGATCAAACTGCTGTGCAAATGGACTCTGACCTGTTTCCCTGCACCTTAGCAGGCAAAATGACCAGAGCTGCTCATGGCGATGGAGGTGATGGAACGGTGTTTTTCTGCCAGTTTTCTGGGTGCCTCTCAGGAAACACATCACCCCCAGGACATAAGAATAGTCGAGGTGACTGTGTAATACTTTCCCCCTGGCGGCTAATTTCCTCATTAAACTCAAAGACATCTTGCGATGTGTCATCACCCACAGTGGGAGCTGTACAATAGCGCGTTAGTCACAGTGTGAGCACGGCGAACTCGGAAATCCCAAACAAACTTTTATCTGCATGGGGCCTAGTGTTTCAAGGGCACCAAGATAGAAATGCAGCTGCAGAGAGCTCTCGCCCCACTGGGGATCCTAAGACAGTTTGTAACAGTGACCCCTGCTGGCCGGGTGTATGTGCACCTGTGTGTGAAGACGCCCGATACAAACGTGCAGCACAGTCCGATTTACTCTACAGGCAGGAGGCTGGCATTTAAAATTCGCCGTCAGGATAGGAAACCAATTCCAAATCGCCACGCCCTGGCGGGTACCAAGTCGCTGTGTTTGAGGCCGTTCACAGGTCCTGCATCGGTCCTGATCCCATGACAGCTATCGACTGAATCTGCCAGCTGTAAATGCAACATATAAGCCTAGGCAGCACTGTGAAAACTATGCTTAATATTGATATGATTGCATATGAATAATGCATATATAAATAATAATTAATACTAAAATACAAATTATATATTTAAGGACTATTAACACTTATTATCATATACATGAATAATTATTGTTATTATTAATAATTCATATATTCATTATATTATATGTTAATGGATTCAACATAATCTTGATATGCAATAAACTGTTACCGTACTTAACATTTGGTAAAAGGATGGGATAAGTATAACAAAAACAAACAAAAACAACAACGAGACTGCTGTCGTATTACGAGTCAGTATTTTGTGTTGCATTATTTATCATTCTGTGCTGTGCCAGAGAAAGACTATGTGAAGCATGCATGTATGAAGTAAGACTGGCTTCACATGTGACCCGGGTCAGACTGGGGGTGCCACCTGCCCCCCCCCCCCAGGTCCCATAACTCAGCGCCTCCCCCCTCGCCCTCCCCCAGGTGGGCTCGTTCTTCATGATCAACCTGTGCCTGGTGGTCATCGCCACGCAGTTCTCGGAGACCAAGCAGCGCGAGCACCAGCTGATGCAGGAGCAGCGGGCCCAGTGCCACTCCTCCAGCACGCTGGCCAGCCTGGCCGAGCCCGGCGACTGCTACGAGGAGATCTTCCAGTACGTCTGCCACGTGCTGCGCAAGGCCCGGCGCCGCACCGCCGGCCTC